AAAAAAAAAAAAAAAATATATGGTGCCATGAGGCAGGCGTCTCTGGCTCTCCGGCTCCCAAGTCTGATCCCCCGGGCCGCTCCTGGTCGTCTGAGGGACCACAGGGAGGACTTGCGGGGAACCCGTCCATATCGCCAAAGACGGTCACAAAGGGCAACGCTCAGAGTGACAGAATTGCGAGCATCTCTCAGGTGCTTCCCGTGTGCCAGACTGCCCATGGCTGCCATCCAGCTCGCAGGTGGGCGCTCGTCCAGTGCTGAGGGGACGTGAAAGCGGAACCGTCGAGGGAGGGCTGAGGACACCTAGGAAGGCGCGGACGGGCCGGTGTCCCGAGTGCAGAGGCGGGCGGTGTGGCGAGGCCAGCAGGTGGAGAGCCCTGGGGGGCGGGGCAGCGGCCGTCCAGGCGTCCTGCGGAAGCCCCTTCCTTGATGCCCTTCTCCAGAATGTCTTCCTCTCCCTCCCTCTAGACGACCTCCCCCTCGCTACCGCGGATTCTCTGTCTCGAGCAGATGTGCTTGCAGGCTGATTTCACCCCAAATGGCAACACTGAGTACGATTTCTTTTTCCTTTCTTTGGAGTCAGAGTCTCACCCTGTCGCTGGAGTGCAGGGGCATGCTCCTGGCCACTGCAGCCTTGACCTGCTGGGCTCCGGAGATCCTTCCATCTCAGCCTTCTAAGTAGCCGGAACTACAGGCATGCACCACCACGCCCAGCTAGTTTTTGATTTCATGTAGAAGCGAGGTCTTGCCAAGTTGCCCAGGCTGGTTTCGAACCCATGGGCTCAGGCAATCCTCTTGTTTCAGCCTCCCAAAGTGCTGGAATTACAGATGTAAGCCACCATGCCTGATGAGATTCATTAATCTTAACAGTATTCTTTAGGGAATAAGTAGGGGGAGCTTTATCATTTTAAAATATTACTTTTACAAATTTACATCTAGTTGAAGATTAAATATATGATATGTAATATACAATATATAATTCCTTTTTTTTGTGGAGTTGGAGTCTCACTCCGTCACCTAGGCTGGAGGTCAGTGGCATGCTCACGACCAGCACAGCCTCGACCTCCTGGGCTCAGGCGATCCTTCCGCCTCAGCCTTCCAAGTAGCTGGAACCACAGAGTGAATCCACTCGCCTCGGCCTCCCAAAGTGCTGGGATTGTAGGCTGAGCCACCAAGCCC